ATGCTCAGCTTGGTATCCCTGATAATGATGTGTTTTTTGAATGTTAATTTATTTGATTCTTTTCTGAAAGTTTATTTTAAACCAGTTCTCAACATGTTTCTTTAGGTCAGAAGGATGACAAAATGAAGATGACGAGAAGTTAAATCGCTTTTAACATACCAAAATAATAAACATATAGTTTTCTAGCCAATCGTTTCTTTATCATCATAAAACAACTAGAAATTGTTTTATCTTCATAGCTATTGTTATTTACGGGATTAAAAGTAAAGTCCAACTTTAAGATATTGTCCGTTCTGTCCCTTTTCTTTGTGGCCTCTTAAGGCTTTCCCTTTCGTCACGTCTTATCTTAACGGTAGTTTTAAAAATTTATGGCCTTTCCTCAGGTGAACCCGGCGAAACAATTCTCATCTCCGTCCGTTCATGTCCGCCCTGGTTGGGGTAATGTGGAAACATAAACATTGCACATTAACGGTCAAATAAATTTCCAGGGTCTAAGGAGAAAAAAAAAAGAAAAAATATAACGTTTAGGTATTCAACCTGACTCTCAGTTTCCCCAACGAGCATAATATTCACCTGGGATTATTAAAAAAAAAAAAAGGATAATTTTTCAAAAAATGAAGTGAAATTCACGGCGATATAATTGCCAGGATGTAATTTGATCATTGGAGCGTACTTTTATAAAATTCTATAGGAGGTTGTTGATTGTAAGGAAATTTTATCTTTTAACCTTAGATACCCTTATCCCTCTACGAACTGTTTTCCTCTCCAACTAGATAAGACCCTACATTAATGATAATCGAATTACCAAATAAAAAATTCATTCACATTCTCTACAAAACCCACATACGTGTTTTAGGGGTGCAGCTGATTAAACAAAATTTCACGTAACTATACTTTTATCAAGCGACACTTCCAAATCAAGATGTATCATACGTTCTGCGTTTGTTTGGGGATAAGGTGCTTGAATTTATGTGGACAGACACCACTCGCAAACTTTGCCGTACGACACGGATTAAGCGTAACCCTAATCTCGGTGAAGATCATCAAACTCACTATCCCCTGGCAGTGTAAAGTACTTCGCACGACTTTATACTGATACTTTAAAGTTTGGCACAGCCAGCTTTTAGCATAAGACTCCTCTGGGATGTGCCACGTCCAAATATAACCGGCTTTCACAAATCGTTAAAACCTCGAGTAATTTGAAATGCGCTACAATCATGACTCAACAATTTAGTAATTTTTAATTACTAGTTTTACATCTGGAAATTACATACATTGATTCGAAATGCCAATAATTCGTACAAGAATCGTTTCGCAAACCAAAAGTGAAGATCCATTATAAAATTTACATGTATGTTCTACCCCATGGGACTTTCTCTCGTATAAATCCTGGAATAAATAATACAGAAAATGGCCTAAATGTAATTTTTGGTCGGTCTATGCACCCAGCTGTAAAAAAATTATATCGAATTTTTTCAACGAACATTTTTGGTCAGCTTATCCTCGCTTTTTTGGTCAGTTTGTTCTCTCTGTTTTGGTCTTTTTGGCCTCACTATTTTTGTGGGTCGACCGACATTTTTTCTACACTGAAATAGAAAGTGCAACATTGCTGTTTTGGTCTGTCAACGATCTGTTTTGATCAACTTATCCTCGTTGTTTTGGCCAGTAAACGTTTACTTTTGGTCAGCCTATACACCGTACAATAAGCATATCGTCCTTTTTTTGCTTCAACGAACATTTTTGACCAACTTATTTTCGCTGTTTTGGTCAGCTATTTCTCGCTGCTTTAGTCTGTTTGTCCTTACTGTTTTTATCATCCAAATTTTGAAAAATCCCAAGTTGTCCGTCGTTGAAATATTTTATTTATTTTGTCTATTACATGGCGTTTCGGGCTTACAGCCCATCATCAGCACCTAAACATGGAAAACCTGATGGTACAATTGCCATCCAGAGATACACACATAAGTATTTTACAATTTTTTTAATAAAAATAAATATACCTGGACTATGCCATAGATACATATATATTTCCATCACATTTTGAGGGGGATGTCGTCAAAATGGTATATGTTCTTACTGTTTTTGTAAGTCGACCAACATTTTTAGTTGGCCTATCCACACTGAAATAGAAAATGCATCATTGATGATTTGGTCTGTCAGCGATTTGTTTTGGTTAACTTATCTTCGTTGTTTTTGTTCAGAAAACGTTCAGTTTTTATTTGGTCGTTACGTGATTATTTTTGGTCGGTTTATCCTCCTGAAATAAAAAATGCATACCATTATTGTTTTGACCTGCCAACGATTGTTTTCGGTCGTTCTGTGTACTGTAGGTTTCAAAAAAACATTTTCTTTATCGTGCCAACGTTTCGATCTTTATTGAGATCATCTTCAGGGCTCAAAGTGTTTGTCTTCTGTGTAATTGTGCCATTCTTGCGTGTCGTAGCACTCTCAACATGACATGCATGAATGGCACATTTACATAGAAGACAAACACTTTGAGCCCTGAAGATGATCTCAATAAAGATCGAAACGTTGGCACGATAAAGAAAATGTTTTTCTGAAACCTACATCACAACAGACCGCATCTCACGATTTCTGAATAATTATAATAGTAAATATGGATATTTAGTGTATTAATATTATATGCTTACTTTCTTCGAGCTATCGAGTATTAACGTTATTATTAACAATAAATGGAATAACAATTGAAGGAAGTTTAAAAAGAAAGCGTTGGGTTCTGAGACTAAATCTGTGTTTTTGGTCAGCAAATCCAATAAATAAATTGGACGTGCGACAGTTTTGATCTGCCCATGCTTCCTGTTTTTTACTGTCAATAATCTTTGGGTGAAAAAAAATTGACTACGTAGTTCAAATTTTAGCAAATTCTTCAACAGATCTCTAATTATTTTCTATAATTTTATTAGGTAGTATATGTAAATATGAATTTTTACAATTGTATTAGATACAATTTTAGAAAGAATATTGACAGTATACAGATGACGAAGAAGAGAACCCAATAAGGGTGGAAACTTTTTAGATGCACTTTCTCATCATTTGGAATTTTATTTCTGTTTACACCGAATCAAAAATTTCTCAATGGCGTTGAAAATGCAAATTCATAAACAGTAGATGTCCATTTATTTTCTGTATGTAGTATTACAATTCTAAATATGAATATTTAGGATTTTATTTCTATTTAAACCAAAATATAGAGTTTTACTGTCATTATAAATAATGTCAGTGTGTTTACATCTGTCAACGATCACTTTTTCTGCCTGTTTTTGCTGTTTTTGGTCTTGGAACGATCATTTTTGGTTCATTTGTCCTCGATGATTTGTCCTTTCATCGTTTCAACAATAAAACTTCTACCGACAGTACAAAGTTTAAAGTTAAGTAAATCCATAAGTAGAAAGGCTGCTTTACTATTTTCATTATATAGTATAATGGTAATGTTTTTGGTCCTTGAACGATCATTTTTGGTTCATTTGTCCTCGCTGATTTGTCCTTTCATCGTTTCAACAATAAAACTTCTACAGACAGTACAAAGTTTAAAGTTAAGTAAATCCATAAGTAGAAAGGCTGCTTTACTATTTTCATTATATAGTATAATGGTAAATTTTTATTATTTTATTTATGTTTAGTTTTAAATTAAAATATAAGGTTATAAAGCTATTATAAATAATAAATGTAATAAATATAGGTGGTTGTAAAAGAAGGCATACGACTGAATCTTATGCCCGTAGTTTAGCCAACAAAAATTTTTGGTCTGCATTTTCTTTCTATTTTGTTTGTAAAAAAAATTTCTCTATACTCTGTACGAAGTTAAAATGATGGTAATGTTGCTACAGTCCATTTATTTTCTGTTAGTAATTATTATATAATAGTGCATATTTTTTTTAAGTTTATTTATTTAATTAATAATAAATTTAAAAAAAATAAAAATCGAAGGTGAAGAATTTGATGTAAGAGTGTTTAACTCTGTCAACGAGCACTTTTGATTTGATTTTTTTGATGATTTGGTCTTTCATCAGTCATCTTTGGTCCGTCCGTTTGTCCTCGCTGTTTTGTTTTTTCAACGTGTTTTATCAAAAAAACTTTTTTCGGACAGTACGAAGTTGAAATTTTGGTAAATCCATACAAAGAAAGATTGCTTTATTCATTTTCATTATGTTGTTATTATAGTAAATTTTTATTATGTTATTTTTGTTTTGTCTGTCTGGTCATTTTCAAAAACGGCAAACAATTTCTCTGTGGACTGTACGAAGTTCATTGTTTTGCAAAGTCATAAATCGATCCACATTTATTTTCTGTTAGGTTCTAAAACTGTAAATATAAATATTTAGATTTTTATTTTTTGTTTAAACCAAAATGTGGAGTTTCACTGTTATTATTAATACAAAATAAATTTTTGTAAAAGGATTAAAATCGAAGGCGAAGAAGCTGAATCTAATTTGAGAGTGTTTAGCTCTGTCAACGACCACTTTTGGTTTGGATTTTTTTGCTGTCTTGAACTTTTAACGATTATCTTTGGCCCCTTTGTCAAACAAAAATACTTTTTACGGACAGTACAAGATCAAATTTGGTAAAACTATAAATAGAAAGTTAGATTTAATTTTTTTCATTATGTTGTTATAATGGTAAATTTTTATTATTTCATTTTTGTTTAGTTTTAAATAATAATACAGAGTTATACAGTTATTATAAATAATAAATCTAATAAAAAATAGCACGTCATTTTAAAAAAAGTCGTAGAAGCTAAATCTGATGTCCGCGTGAGGGCGCCAAATTCGGCTGACTAGTGTACGAGCCGGATTGTCAAAGAAACATAACTCTTATGTAAATTTTAACTTTACAAAACTCAAATTGGAAAGAAAAAGGAAATTTTAAATGTATAAATGTCGAAAATAGAGTGTGGATAGAAAAAAACGAGATTCGCCCGGAATCTTTTCACTGAGGGCAGATTTGACTCGCGTTGGCAAGCCTGTATGTTTAGTGGTGGGGCGATGAGGTGTCGCATCCCGACTCATTGATCGTAGAGCTGCGTTCTTAGTGCTAGTGGGCCCTTGCTACAAAACGACTCTTGGAACCAGTCAATTTTTCAGCTTCCAGACGATTGTGAATGGTTTTCAGTGATAGTGAGGTGTACGCTGCCAAACTGTGGGGTTCAAGTTTCTTCCTACCCCCTCAGGGGGTCTACTACCCGGTGAGTGGCCACTTAATAGTTTCTCGTCAAAGCATGCTTTTTCTGCATTTACCTCACACCACGATAGTTAAAAACAAACATATTTCCAAATTTCCGAGTGGATCCTCGAAGCCTTTTTCCCCGGTCGTTTTAACCATTCCTAGGTTGGGATTTTTATGGTTTTTTTGTTGTTTTTTCCCGTAAAGTCTAACCTCTACTCGAATGGACCCAACGCCTAACCTTGGCCATCTTACGTTCGAACCGTAACTGTTTATATATTTTCTTTAAAAATTAAAAGCATTTTCAGTACTTTTATTACAACACACACTCCAATAATTTTAATTTTAATTATTATATAAAGTAATACGATTTTAAAAAAAGTCTTAATTTAACTGCTCGACGCCTAGCTATTAATTGTAATTAATTGTTTTAAGGGATCCTAATCACGTTTGGATCGTTTCACACCCTCCATATTACCTTTTTGTTCCAATGCATGATGGAAACGTATTTTTAAACAAACAAAAGTAAATTTATTTAAAAGTTATTTTTCTTTGAAATGTTTTATTTTGAGCACGTCTTTTTGCACGCATTTCTTTTTTTGTTTGTTTGTGCGATTTTCATTATTTACCCTTTAACCTACAGTACACACACAAAAAAAGGAAAATGGCCGATTTTTTGTATTTTTCCGAAATCTACTTCAACGGAGCCACACTTTTCATTGAGAAAAAAAACATAACAAAAAAATGTGACTTTCTCTCTTTTAAGTTAATATGTATTTAATAAGATACCCTAAGAAATGATGAATCACGTCGGTTCTGAATTGGATACTGGCCGGAAGCCCGTTTGAAGAAAGCGCAATTGAAATACTGCCAGCTATTTTGTACAATGCTTAGTTATTTGCCTATCATCGGCTTTTTGTTGAGTAATTGTGACCAAAGGTTTGGCTTTGCTGGATTGTTTTTCATCAAGAATTCCAGTTCATGCGCTTGTTGATTTGCCACCGCCGCCAGGACAAGGTTGTTTTTTGGTTAGCTTGGTTTTTTAAATTTTGACTATTACTAGAATAAGTGAAACAGTTCGGAGATTTGTCGATGTTGAGGTCTCCAGGGGTGTTGAACCTATCGTTTTGGCAATTACCGATCGTTTTTGACCGGTCAAACGCGTTTCGGCTTTTTCGCCATCGCCAATCGTGGTTTTATAGCGAACTTCAAATTGGTTCAAATGGTAAAGACCGCTAACTTCAAACAAACCATTGAATATGATGGATTTCAGACAGATTCAAACTCACTAAATAAACGGCTAACCTCAAATGTGCAAACAAACCACTGAATATAATGAACTTCAGACAGCCGAAAAAGATGGTGAACTACTTCAAACAAACCACTGAATTGTAACTTCAAACATACAAACAGCACAATATGGTGTACTTCACGCAAATTCAAATGTACAAGTAAAGCCGAACTTCAAACGTACAAACCAACCACTGATCGTAATGGATTTCAAACACAACAACATAAGGCCGCATATAAAGTTACCGAACATGAAACATAAAACTGACCAGAAAAGATGCACTTTAAACGTACAAACTGACCACTGAATATTTAAACTTCAATCATATAAATATGTCATTTAGTATGGTGAACTTCAGGTATATTCAAATCTACAAGTAAAGATGCCTAACTTCAAACGTACAAACCACTGATTGTAATGACTTCTAACATACAAACACATCACTTAATTTGGTGAACTAAAGGTAAATTCAAATAAACAACTAAAGATGCCGAACTTCAAACATACATACAAACCACTGATCGTAATGGACTAAAGATAGAACAATATAAGGCCGCATATAAAGTTACCAAACATGAAACAGATCAAACTGATCAGAAGAGATGCATTTTAAATATACAAATAAACCACTGATTATATGAAACTTCAAACATACAAACACGCCACTTTGAACTGACAAATTCAAATCCACGAGTAAAGATGGCGAACCTCAAACGTACGAACAAACGACTGATTGTAAAGGACTTACGACACAACAACATAAGGCTTCAACATAAAGCTGCATATAAATCTGGTGAACAAGAAATGTTTAAAACTCATCAGAAAAGATGCACTTAAAGCATACAAATACGCCACTTAATTTGGTGGAACTCAGGCAAATTCAAATTCCCAAGTGAAGATGACGAACCTCAAACGTACAAACAAACCACTGCATAAAATGGACTTTAGACCTAAACCCACATATATGAACAACAAAAAACATATAAAACTAAATAACATATAAAACAGAAAAGATTGTCTTCAAGCCGAAAATAACAAATCAATGAATATGTTGAACATAAAATACACATACCCCTGGATATATAGGATTTCAGAATTACGAACTCACCAAATAAAGATGACGAACGTCTTCATAATATAGATAACTTCAGAAACTTACAAACCACTGGTAAAGATGTCGAAACTTCAAATATACAAACAAATCACGAAATATAGCGAAACTTAAAACTAACCGCTGAATGTAGCGAACTTCAGACACATTCAAACCCACAAGTAAAGATAGCACACTAGATTAAATTTCAGACACAAACAAAACACGGAATATAGCGGAACCTTCAAAAACAAACCATTGAATATAGCGATCTTAATAAACATACAAACCCACTAATAAAGTTGGTGAACTTCAAACAAACCTCTGAATATGTAGCTAACTTCATACAGAAACGACAAGTTAAGTTTAAAAAACACTGGGTATGGTCAACATAAAAAAACACATATCGGAAACGACGAAAGTATAAACAAATATCTAAATTGGCCATTTCAGGCGCCTTTAGGCGGAGATCAAAGCGCTACTACTCTTTCACCATTCACTAACGTATAAAAGAGACGCAGCACTCTAATAAACTATTTAATATGCTGAAATGTCCAACCGCGCCTGAACAGCGAACAACGAAAGGAGGAAACCTAGGTAGACCAAAAATGTGAAACCAAAGTTACCACAATCTCAGGATTTTATAGAAGCTTACAGCTTTAGTAAATAGCTGGCGCTTTATGGTGGCGTACGCTTATGCTATGAATTTCTGTGAATATGAGCTTATAAGGAACTTGATTTAATAAAAAAAAAAACACTAATCTATAAACAAAAGATGTCTAAATGCGTCTGACAGAGGAACAATATAGTAAACGACGAAGTACTAACAAATCTGGTTTTCTTAACAAAATTGGTTGTTTTCGACTTCATCAAGTCAATATTTCCCAACTACACTTTCACCAAAGTATTAAAAGGGCTAGAATTAAATAAACGTACAAACCCAGACCAGGACAGAAAGGACAGTCAGGCCAAAAATGTTGCTCACTATTTCCGCTATGCTTGAAACAAAAAGAAAACAATCTAGTATCCCCTAAGCCGTTCGTATTTGACAACAAGACGGCAGTCTTTTGTTTGCAAAAGACAATGATTTGAACCTTACTTATTGCATAGTTTGTTAATATCTTTAATCTTTACTTTAAAAAAAAGATGTCACTTAATTCTTTTAATCAGCATTCATCGGTTGTACTTTTGGTAATTGGTTTTCCAAAAATTTGATTGTTTAATAATAATAATGGTTTTAAAGGGTTTTAAGTGTAGTTCTGAGTCTACGTTGATCTTAGAATTATCAAACAAGTCAAAAATTTAGGTATTTCGTAAATGACCTTAATACAAGTTAACGTATTGAAGTTCTAGTCTAGTTTAAAAGTTGTTGAAGCGATTTAAATGTTAACCAATAACGTTTTCACAAAAAAAAGATTAGATATAAAGGTTTAAATAACGGATTAGATAGTAAATAACTATCAGACGGAGTTTCCAAGAGTTGCTTTTTGAAACTGGCAAACCTCCAGTCCTTCTTAATTTTAGGTAAGTCATTATTGTTTTCTTAAAATCCAATTTTCATAGAAATTTAATTTTGGTTTGTATTGCGGACGTCAGATATAAGGTAGCTTTCTTTTTTTACACAAAGATTCAGGAGGAATGGATAAAGAATCTTAAACCCGTGAGATTAAGGAACCCGTCAATCCCGTCGCACAAGGCAAACTACCGTTATCGCTAAGCAAACGGATATAAAATCAGTACAAAACGTGTACCTTGATAAAAAGGATTACTTAGTAGCTATCGGGTATTGTTTTATTTCATCCCCTCTTACTATGTACTCTGTCATAAAAAATCAGGTTTTGTCGGGTTTTTTCTATTCAAACTAAAGTTCTTGAAGATCGCACTTGACAGACAGTATTGGCGGGTCAGAACGTCATAAACGGACACTGATTAGGACTTAGTTCGTTCATTCTTTCTCTTATACAAATATTTTCAGCTATTACATACTAGCCAGGTACTGGAACATACAAGGCAGGTTGTAATTACGTAGATGTCTCGCTCTTCTACCCACAAGGACATTAATTGCTTTCTGAGAGGATCCTGCCTTTGTTGCATAATGAGAGCAATTCTTTACGAAAGAGGACTGTCACTTTCACACTATATTACATTATTTTTTAAAAGAATAAAATCAAAAATAAACCCTTACAATACAGAAACGCAACTCCAGACATCAGTATACAATAGTATCTCACTTTCAAATTTCCTCCATTTCGTACCGTTTTCTTTGACTATATTAAAATACGGTTTCTCAGGATCAAAATTGAAATATGTAGTCAATATTGAATATTTGCTCTATTTGAACCGCTTCAATGAATATTTAACATATTCGATGTTGATTGCCGTTATTAATTACACAAAAATCCTTCCTTCTTTTTTCCTATTGTAGATTTAGTAATATCCTCTAGTATTTCCAATTATACATTTTTTTTTCTGTAGTTTTCACTTTGTATTTTCAATTCGACTCCTATAACAAACTATAAAAATGTTTCTCTTTGTTGTAGTTTTGAACGTTTTTAATATAATTTGTGTGTAATTAACTAAAATAAATTGAATGAAGCTTCTTACAGAATTATAAATTACGAACTGTGTATAAAGCACGTAATAAATAAGAAACAAAACAAAAACAAATAGTATCAACAAGATTTGTACGATAGTGTTTCACTTGAAAGTTGACCCAAACTTCATAGAAAGAAGGCAACTTGGTGAAAGAAGGTCAATACAGTTAGCGTACCGGATTATCCGAAAAACTTTTTTCTTTCTTCTTATTTCACTCTGACTGAAAACTACTAAAAAGATCAATATAAAAATTATGTAACACTGGTTCTGTCAAGGAAGAAGAAATGGCATACTCCTTTCAGAAAAAAAGTCGATAGGCTTTTTTCATGTTGAAATAATATTTTAAATTGTAATTTACAGATGTACTCATGTGTCGGTATATGGTATATTGTTTATTATATTTTGCCTTGTTTCTTCTTTAAAGAGTTTTTCACGGATTATCCGTGGCAGCCTATCTCCTCATCTCGGATAATATTATATATTCAGTAAACTAACTATTCTCCTTTTGTTTTCCATATTTGTTCATATTTTTTAAAATGATATGCGGATTCTCCGTTGTAAGCAGTGTATTGAGAAAAGTTCAATTTTATTTTGCTACGGCGACTTAATTACTTACCAATAGCTTGAAAATATTTGGAAATTGGCATCGATAATTGATGTTCATTTATAACTTGTAAGTTTATATCTCATATAAATAGCGTTTATTTTATACTAAAAAAATTTAGGCTAGGGGCCCTTTTTATGATATCTTTTAGCTTGAAAGGATATTTTAAACGGTGGTCCAGTTTCGACTGGGCGGGGCACGCGCTTCGGCGGCAAACTGGGAAAAACCTGTTACTCGGTGTTGAGAAAGAAGCCGGAGAAAAGCCCCTGTTGCTGGGCCGTTTCAAGCCGCCGTAACTACCAGGTGAAGCAGCGGGGCCCGCGCGGACCAGGTCAAAATGCTGAGGGGGTCGGATTTGTTCAACTGCTTCTCGATTTGACCCCATCTCCGATTTCGACAAAATTCGATTTTTTCCTCCTTACTAGAACTTTTAAATTCCCATGAAGAGGTTATATGAAGTTAAAAAAAAATATATATGAATCGTGAAAAATAATCGTCCACACTCGAGATAGGTTTCATCGAATGGAAAAAATTGTGAGGGTAAATTTCTAAGGACTAGTTTTCGACCACTCCCTGTTATAATTTTAACATGCATGTAAAACAGTCCTCATTTTTACGTTTAAACGTTTATTTTAAAAAAGTACCCTTCCCACCTTTAATTATGTCTTTATGTTTGTGGAACCCGGTGAACCAAAGAGGTACTCGAACATTATCAAATAAAAGTGGTGAGTGGTAAAGAGCAGTACTCCCTCCCATCAAATCACCATCTGGAGAAGTTTTGAAAAATGTAAAATTTCTTTATTCTAGTTAACCAACAATCAATGGAATGATTTGTACTCGCGAACTTCTGGCCTCTCGCCTTCACAAGTGTATGCGGGAGGGCGTAATAGCTATGAGGTAAATATAAATTATTTTAATTTTGTCTAACGAAAGGAATGAGAACTTCTCCAGAAATATTTGTTTAATGTTTACAAGTCGAAGATTTTCTCCGTGTTCTTTTTTTCTTTCTCCAGTACCGTTTTGATTTTTATTCACAAATTAAAAAAATTTCGGCTAACAAGTGATTAGATCGTTCGCATACATTTTGGTCTGCCTATCGTCACTATTTTGGCCGGTCAGACTTAGTGGCTGATTTTTGTCCATAATTTCGTAACATGATGTCATCACCCCTATATAACCCTGACCAACCACTGATGTGTTATTTGATAACTAAGACAGTGATCAGAGACGACCAAATTACAGGGTCTTCTTCCCTCAAACCAAAATATTAAAATCCCAGAATATAAATATTTATTGCTTGCAATCCAATATTGCCATACTAAGTGTCTTAAAAATATAAAAACAAGTCGTCATCTTGTTGTTTTTTTTTCAAAATACAAAAACAAGTCATTTTTTTTTTTTATAGCTCCCTACCAAGGGTTCTTATGGTGAAGTATTTTGAATTACTCTATTATATTATTCTATAATTTGTTTTAGAAATAACAATTTGATAAAATATGACTTGGTAAATTCAGCGTACCAAGTAAATTCGGCCGAAAGGAAGTTTTCGATGCGTTGTTTGTTTCAAAAAGCCCCGTACCAGCTGAACGGTTAAGGTAAATAGCATTTTTGAATACCGTTATAACCGGGCCGGCTCGAGGTTAAAAGCTTTCGACTTATTCTTTTTTCACCTGAACTAGCCATCGAGTTTCATCGTAAAAATAGTCAAAAGTAAGTACATTTACAAATACGTGTCCTTGCTTGATCGTAGTCTGGTTCCATTGTTCGAACTTTATGATAGTTAATTATATTTTGGCTTTAAATAAGGACTTTGGTTTAAGATATGCCCAAAAGTTTAAATTAACTGCTCTTTCTACTGAGTTCAAAGGTGTATTCGAAACCGAAGCCGTGTTAGGCAACTGGCCATGTGCTAAGCTAATTTAACATGGCCCTTGTTGGAAAGTCAATTTTAGATCCTAAATTTGGAAAGTCTGCCTAGAGACCGTTTTTACATACCTGAAAACGCTAATAGGGCCCAAAGAATTCATGTACAGGAAGGACTAACCTCTCTTTTCATACCTGAAAAATATTTCTTTGAATAGCTACTCTTAAAACATTTTCTGTCTTAGATTATACAGATATTTTATAAATAGTTATTGGTTGTTGGTCCTGCTGTTCATTTCGTGAGAGTCCTGGTTTTGTTTTTGTGGTAGTTTTTATTGTAGTTTCGTGTGCAGGCTATTGCTCCATTTACATAAATCAATAATGAACTGAAACAATTCAATTTGTTTACTCGCCTCGGCTGATGAAATGTAAATCGAGTCCCTGCCAACGGACTAAAGTTCCAGCTTTAAAGTCAACACATAATGGATTGATTAGGTTGATTCTCATCTTTACAGACAGGTAATCCAGTCGATTGTGCTAAAAGCTGAAAATCAAAACGTCAAATTGCAATCAACTTTCAAAAAGTCGATTGGAAGTTAAAGGATAAAGTGAAGAAAGATTGCTGCACTTGACAGGATGGGCTTGTTGCCTTGATTTCGTCACGACGAATCTCCACCCACATCCGCATGTGCCATTCCATTGAACTGCAAAACTAGTCTGTCGACAACTACCCGAACTGGGCCCCAGTTATATCTTCTATACTAAAACTGACTACATTGAGAGACCAAAAAGTGATCACCGTTAATATTTTTAATTATCTCTTAGACAACCTCCTACGTTACAACAATATTTGGTCCGTTTTAAAGGATTAGACGAAAATAAAACACAGATCTTCGATCAGTGTTTACAATTGGATTTTGTAAATAAATCTTTAAAGAGTCAATCTCTTTTTTGTTGGTTTTTCTTTAAAGCTTCTTTCTAACGTTCCGGTGGTTGATTTTTTAAGTTGTACCATTTTAAGTTTCAAATTTGTTTGAGGGATGGTTTTAGATGATACAGAATTCGGCTAGAATCATAGCATTGTTGGAAATTTGAAGAAGTCAATCTTATGTCGCCAGGGTGCTTAATATTCCAAGAACAACTTTAACAAGGGTCTTCCACCGCTACCAAGATACTGAGGGTATTCAAGATGGCATGGATCAGGCCGCCATCGTATCACATCTCAGAGAGTTGATCGTTTTATTGTTTCTAATGTGTGGTGATTAGTGACCGTTAATCGATAATTATTCAGAAATCGTGAGATGCGGTCTGGTGTGATGTAGGTTTCAGAAAAACATTTTCTTTATCGTGCCAACGTTTCGATCTTTATTGAGATCATCTTCAGGGCTCAAAGTGTTTGTCTTCAGTGAAAGTGCCCACTCTCAGCACGACACGCAAGAAAGGCACAATTACACAGAAGACAAACACTTTGAGCCCTGAAGATGATCTCAATAACGATCGAAACGTTGGCACGATAAAGAAAATGTTTTTCTGAAACCTACATCACACCAGACCGCATCTCACGATTTCTGAATAATTGTTTCTAATGTTTCCAGAATCGACATTCTAAAGATGTTGAGATCCAGCAACGACTTAAACAAGTTAGATATGTTATTGTCGGTTTGTGCACTGTAAAGCGAAGAAGATCAGAAGCTGGATTACGTGCGAGAAGGCCTGCCACTGGTCGAGAACTTCTGACAAGGCACAGAACAGCTCGATAAGTTCCATACGATTTCCCATCAATTGGTCTGAGCAAGATTGGCCTAGGATGTTGTATTAGGATGGTTCAAGGTTTTGTTTGAGGTCTTCTGTAGAAGGCGAGAGAGGGTTTGGAAAAGAACTGGAGAGCGATACATCACCGCAACATTTCCACTCCGAAGAAGCTCACTGTTTGGAGTGGCCAGCATGTAGTTCCAAGTTAAACCATATTGAACATCTTTAGGACGAGTTGTCAAAGAGGGTCGCCCAGTGATGCAGAGAATATGCAGGAATTAAGAATGGCGCTGTTGGAGGTGTATGAAAATATTTCACAGCACTACATTCAAAACCTCAAAATCAATGCCACGTCGATTACAAGGGGTGATCAAAGCTAGACGATGAAGTACTGAATTGAATATTCTCTTTTTTTTCCATAGCAACAATTTTGGTTGATTGTACTAGGATCTTCGTAATCACGAGGCCAAGAGACACAATGGCCTAGATACGCCAAATGAATGGGAGTGGGCGTCCGTTTGGGTAGCGGCCCGCCCATACGACCTCTCTTCCTGGTCGCTCGCCTATTTCTCCAACGGAAGAATCGGTTTTTCACATTTTCCACGGTCTTGTATCGCAATGCCCATGTCCCAAGTGGATATCGCCAACAAAAGGACCCGCAGCCGTGACGAAAACCAGCCTTTTGAATCGGCCCCTGGAAAAAATTTATTGTGAAAATTTCTTCTCTTTTCCAAGGAAAGCCAAAGAAACAGGCAGGCTTTTCTGTATAAAGATAGAAAAAAGACGGAAAATGACAGTGGCGGAGGAAATATCCCGTCGGCATTTGAGGATAAGACAAGATGATCTTGCATTTTCGGCGTAACCCTATTTCACATTTCTGTCTTTTCAATACCTTTCGCCTTTACCCAAAAAACATTCGATCCCGTTCTTTAAAATGTTTATGCACAAATAAACTTGAAGCGACGTCGTATTTCTATAAAAATGTATAGTACGCACTCGTTCATACCGTATATCAAGCAGCGTCTGTACGGTTGCATATCTGAATAGTTTACAAAGCGATTTAGAATAATTGACAAAGTATTAAGCAGCCACGTTTTAACGACGATACGAGACCTTGCTAACCCAGTTCCTTGGGTAAAAATCGTGTATGGTTGAAAGATGGCGGGGCAGTGGTAAAAGAGGAGGCGAAGTCGTGCCTGATTCTCGAGGCATGCTTGACGTCCTTGGTTGAATTGTTTTTGATGTAACTCGCGTCCTTGAGCGACTCCCGTTTGCGTCCCCCTTTCGGCGGATTTTTTTCTCTTTTTTAATAAATTCTCCCAAGAGAAGGGGCCAGGACAATTTGTAAAATTTCGGCTCGTAGTATGCTTTTGCACAGTGGTATGTCCTCCGTTGTGGATGAAAGATGGGCCTATCGACACGTGTCCGTATATAATGGCGACCTCTAATGGATGTTCCTCACTCCCTCACTCCCGCCATCACTCCAGACGTATTATCTCATCGTCAGCTATATAATGGAATTTACCACGCCTTCAGTAAAGTTCTCCGTCATTGTGTCTGAAATTGCGGTGATCTTCTGAATAATCTATCACGATGCAATTACAAAAGGATTGGCAAAGTGAGCAAAGTCTCATCCTGGTGAGTATTCATAAATGCCGTTAGCATTGGAAAGAAAGAATCGATATTGTACTCTACTAAAATGGAATATTAGTCATAATTTAAAAGTAACTTTATAGAGCAGTGGCGGCATCAAAACGGGAAAAGAACAAAAGGAGAAAGGTGAAAAACAACTTCACTTACAAACCATACATCAATAAAACATGCATGTTAAACGTGCCCCCATTCGGTTTCACTACATTCCCAAAGAAATAACAATTCCCTCAGCCTTTATGGGTGCCAATCTATTTCTAGTATTGTTTAAGATGTCCCCTCGCCTTTGAAGAACGTACGTTTTGTTTTTGTTGGTGGGATGTTCAAGGATTAAACAAATATTGCCTTTCAATGTGAGATTGTTTTTTGTTGCAATTTGCGTAGTGATGAACCTTTAGTTTAAACGAGTTTCGTTTTTTTGATATCTTTTGTAACTACTTCACCATTGAAGGTAACGAGAGGCGAAACTCCTCTGACCGACTACGTGATACGAAACGACCAATCTACAAATAATTATCGTTTTGCTGGTATTGAACACAGATTTTTAATTATGGAAGGAGGAGTTAGATAATATTTTGATATTATCCCCATTACCCTGGTCATCTTACATTACTTTGTATGATGATCCAACG